AATAGATTAAAACAGTAGGAGGCTAGTTCTCTCGCTTTGAGATTTAATAGAAATTCATCAATAATTTTATGTTTTCTAAAGACTGCAGAATAAATGTACCTTTACAGAAATAAAAATTTTAGTTGGGGCTCAAGTAATGAATATTCCATTAAATTGGGAGTGACCTTGTTTTAGAACTAGTCTGATGAGAGAATGAGCATAGCCTGGGTATTTTTGAAGAATCTGACACTGAGTTATGGAAGACAAAAGTTCAAGTTCCTGTGCCATTTGCTTGAGAGAACAGCATTCCTACAACAGTGTTTCAAACCTGCATTATAGCCAAGAAGGTGTTGGGTAGAAAAGCCAGTTAGTGTTTGTTTACCCCCGACCAGAACTTCACTGAAATCAATATATTTTTCTGCTCAGTTGAACAGCATTTTTGTGTGTGTGTGTGTGTTCACATTTTTTCATTGTATTCTAGGAAAAAAAAAAATCTAGCCAGTTTTATTACAAAACTGAATATTGCAATACAGAATTCTCATTTTACCTGCTGCCTTATACCGTGGAACAGAAAGATAAAACAAATTGGTGGGAGAAAGAGGAAATGTGGACACATACCCATACATATCAATTTTTAGAATGATATCTCATCTGAAATTGATTTGAATTCTGTGAATATTTTGCTGTTTTTCTTTCATCCTTCAGGGCCTGTGTACTTCCATTTCTGTTATGAAACATCAAGAATTGGTTATTCTTGTGGTATTTTTATGTTTTTCTTCAAATCTTGACTCCATCCTCAAAAATCAAATATTTTCTGCTTGAATTAGTTTGAGATCAGTTTTTGTAGACTCTAGGAATATGTCTGGAAGGTTTTTGCAAGCATGTAGCTTTAATAAAGCTGCAAGATTATCTGTTGAACTGTGAGATTCCTCACTGTAATATTTAAGCAATTTTCAAGTAATTTCAGTCTGCAAAACTGCTTCATGGTTGAACCTCATATTTCTTTTGTTCTTCTCCCTTCCCAGGTAGTTATGATTTAAAAAAAAAAAAAAAAAAAGCATGCTTTTTTTTTTTTTTTTTTTTTTTTTTCCTTTAGGAGGAGGAATGTGAAGATCTTTCAGTTTGCTTTTATTCCATATTAGGAAGATCCTTATGACAAAGTTATTCCACAGGTAGTAAATGTGCCCACTGGAATTCTGCCATGGGAACAGAGTAACAGAATTGTATTAGAATGATGAGTCAGGCTTTGCATCTTTTCTGAAGAGACTAACAGCATGTCAGTTATCATATTACTACTATCTGCTTGCTTATATGTCTTATTGTTCCGTCAAGAATGAAAGCCGTGTTACTCGTGAAGATAATGATGCCCTCCCTGCTTGCTCAAAGACCCAATAGTTCAAATCATAATAATGCAAGACTCTGAAAAGAAAGGAGGAATAAAAAAAAAACAAAACAAAAAAAAATGGAATAAGAAAGTAGAATATTAGTTTGTTGCTGTGTCTTGATAGATCAAAGGATGTTAGCATCACTAAAACTTCACTAACTAAAACTAACGTGGCAACAATGCCACAACTGCTACTACTGTAACGATGAGAAGTATTTCCCTGTGCTTATTGGGAACTATGAATACCAAAACTGTTTACAGAACATATTGAAAAATCTCTTGGCTATTAACCAGTCTTGCTCACTTTTGAAATGGGTCACTTTTTAGTGAGTGGCCTACAAGTGAAAAGCCTTGGTCTTAAATCAGTTCTGTGAGTCGTTCCATTTCCCCCTATATTGGTTAATATAATTTAATTTCCTTCTCTTCACCTGTCATAAGACAAGCGGGGGGAAGGAGTTGCTCCTCTCGGTACTTGCAAATTATTCAATGTAATTTTCTGAGATCTTCCATCATGGTGTTTTCTTAAAATTAGAACCAAATTAAATGTGTTCCTAGCCATTGCAGAATACATTGATTAGAACTGAATTATGCGCAGTTGTGATCTGCATTGGAATTTGCATGACACATCTCTCCTGGAGTGAAACTGAAAAGGAATTTGAATCATCCCCCATCCCTTTCCAATGAATACAGTCCATTAACCATTAAATCCAATAAGTTGCGGTCAATATTTAGAACAGATAAATGTGTAGATTTAATGAATGATGCAGCTATTAAAGTCTCAAGTACTCTACCTAATCTGTGCTAACTGAATAGACTATATCTATTAAAGAATAATTAACTGCACACAACTTATTTGTTTGTTTGTTTGTTTGCTTGTTTTTTCCTTTTCTTATTTATATTATAACAGTCTCCAGAGTCCTCAGTTTCAATCAAGACAGCTTCCTTGATTATGTAAGTAAATACTGTAAGATCTTGGTTGGGAGAATATGTGTGTTCACATTGATCTACATGAGCATTTCCAGTGATTTAGGTTTACATATATCTGTTTATGTGCATAGAGGTAGCATGGATATATGTGTTTTCAGGGACTAAGGTGGCAGATGCTTGCTTTCGCAAACCCACAGTGGGTTTGCAAACTTCTGGATTCACATGGTTGTCTATTTTCAGACTGAATGTTAGACTGAAAGGAAGCTCATGTGGTGTGTTTTTGGTTGCAAACACAGGCCCTGCATCCCACAAAAAGTCATGCATGTTTAACTATGCAGGTTGACAAAGGACCACCGGTAACAAAGGGAGAAATCTAACAGTGTAATCTCCTCTGGGTTATTTGAGCCCAGAATATTGTTAGAGGGGATTATACTACACGCTGCTTCACTTTTATTTATTTATTTGTTTATTTATTTTCCTGGTTTTATGCTTCTTGGCACCATTTTTTTTCTTCATATTTTGATGTGTTCTTTTTTCCATTTGTTTTCAGAAACAATTAACTCTAACTGAAAAGGATGCATTAGAGAAATTTTACATGTTTGTATATGTAGAAGGGAGAGAGAAAAAGAAAGAGAGAAGTTGCATTCTGTGGATCCAACAGGAAATAACTTCTCAGGTATCTATCACAGTAAGAGAACAACACATCTAGGTTGGCTCTGTGATGATATAAAATAACATCTACCCCACCTGACATCACTGCACAGGCAGCCTCTATTCCCATATGGCTAACATAAAAGCTCCATAACCTTATGATAGTATTAAATGAAAGGGGGGGCAGAGATGAGTTCTTACTAGTGGGACCCTTAAGAACTGCTGATATGGGAGAGGGATCGATTGCAAAACCACTGCATGGATATAGCCAGCTTCTACCATGATGGTTCAGTCCTTTCTTATCCTTTGTGTGGTGTTTGGCTCTGCAGTGTTGTTTCCCTGATGATAGAAATGAAACAGATGAACTCTGAGAGAACTATCGTGCTTTTATAGATTTTTTTCTGAAATGCTCACACAGATATATATTGGATTTTTGTTTGTCAAGCATAAGCACTCTCAATGTATCTGCTCTTTTGTAACTTTGGAAATGGTGGCTTTCTGATCAGAGAAAACATTCATTTTCTTTCCATCCTGAGGAATAATACAGTACTGGTTCTCTTCCAAATAACACATCTCATGTCTTGATGCTATGCTCTTTCATTAAGACATATAACTTACCATAGCAACCTTTTCAATTAGGGCCAGATCCAAAACTTATAACTGCTGTTGGAAAAAAGAACATACTGCCTGCAGGCTCTTTCAAGCAGTTTTGTGTACAGTTATTCACACAGTGGTCACACTTGCGTGACAAGATTACATTGTAGGGACAATATATACAATACAGCATTTCCTTAGGATATTAATAGTCATTTTGGATAGCGGGAGAGCTACCTTTTTTCATGCCAGTTCTGGCAATCAACTGTAAAATATGACAGTGATTGGATGTGGCAGCTTATATCTGCACCGGTGTTTTGATGCAACAAAACATTCTTTTGCTTTTATTTGTAAGACAAAGACTTACAGTATCTGAGCATTAGCTATGATGCACCTTCCTGGCAGGTACAGAGGAAGAATTTCTAGACTCCTTCATGCCTCTCTTTTCAGCTTTTCCACAATCTGATAAAGAAGGTTTCTCACCATCTCACTGCCTTGTTAACATGTCATTGTAAATGGAAAACGGTAAGAGAAAGATGTTAGTTTTCCACAGGATGTGCCAGCACCACTCTAATGTAGGCACTTGTTCAGTCATTTGGGGCTTTAAGAGTGTGAGTCCTAGCTGCCAAAGGGAAGTCTCTAGCCAAGAAACTTCTTTCCCGGTGTTGCTGGCTGATGGGGGAAACGTGAATACCCGGAGGGTGACTAAATCCTCCAGACACTATGAAATAAAGGATAAAAAAGGACAGGGCAAGTAATCAGGTAGAAGGGGGGGCGTTCCAAGGGGCACAGAGCCTAGCTTTGCCACAGGTTCCCGAACTGCCTGATCCAGCCGGTGCATCAGGGTGTGCTCGGCACAGCGCAGCGCTTCAACTCCCACCAACCCGTCTCCAGCTCCGACCCTTCCTGAGCTGCGCACTAGCGGAAAGTTGGGCTTCCTACTGCTCTCGCCTGCGGCCCGCGAGTGGCTCAGCCCGACTCCGCGATCCCTGGCTGAGCGCTCCTCCTCTGCGCATGAGTCGCGGCGGGAGGCTCCGCGCCTGGGCTATTTCAGGGGCTGGGCACCGGGGGAAGATGCTCAGTGCCTGAAGGGGGCCGGGCCGTGCCCAGGGGGGCTGCGGCGGCGGCTGGAAGCCAGGAGCCGTCGGGGCAGAGGCGGCTGCAGCACCGCGGACAGCGCACAGCGAGCTCCGCTCCGAGCCTCCGACTCCACCGCCCCGCCGCGCCCTGGCCCCGTTGCCCCGGCTCCGGCTCGACGCCGCCCCGGACCCCGGTGCCTCCCCTCCGGACCCCGGTGCCGCTGCCCCCGTGCCCCGGCCCCTTGCTAGCAGGGTCCCACCGGTGCTCTCCCCCTCTCCTCCGTCCCCGCTCGCTCCCCGTTTCCCCCCCGGCACCATGCGCGGACGGCTGCGGGCGGCGGCTTGCGAGGCTGCGGTGCCGGCTCGGATGCCCCCTTCCTCCTGCCCTCGCCCGCTGCAGGCGACCCGCTGAGAGATGGACTTGGCAGGCGTGCTGCTGGCGTTGCTCCTCGTGCTGGTGCTGGTCGTCTCCCTGCTCTCCAACCTCCTGGTGCTGCTATGCTTCGTCTACAGTACGGAGATCCGCAAGCAGGTCGCCGGGGTTTTCCTGGTGAACTTATCCTTTTGCAACCTGCTCCTCACCGTCCTGAACATGCCTTTCACCCTGCTGGGGATCCTGAGGAACCAGCAGCCCCTCGGGGGCTGCGTCTGCAAAGCGGTGGGTTTCCTGGAAACTTTCCTCACTTCCAACACGATGCTGAGCATGGCAGCGCTCAGCATCGACAAGTGGATTGCCGTGGTGTTCCCCTTGAGCTACACCAGCAAGATGCGGTATAAGGACGCTGTGATACTGATGGGCTACTCGTGGCTTCACTCCCTCACCTTCCCCTTGGTATCTTTGTTTTACTCGTGGGTAGATTACAGCAGCGTTTATGCCTCTTGCACCTTGCACCTGAAGGAAGAGACGGAGCGGAGACGCTTTACGGTGTTCACCATCGTCTTTCACTCCACCAGCTTCATGCTGTCGCTGGTGATCTTGTGTTTCACCTATTTAAAGGTGTTGAAAGTTGCTCGGTTCCATTGCAAGCGGATAGACATTATTACCATGCAGACTCTGGTTTTGCTGGTGGACATCCATCCCAGGTAAGGGGCGCGTGTTTGCATTCACAGCCTCGGGGCTCTTGTGGTGGGTACCCCAGGGCGGAGGGGATGCTCTGCCTCCCCGGCACCCCTTCGTGTTCTCCTGCCTACCTCGGCAGCCCGGTGAGACCCTCCTGCCTCCAGCTCCAGGCGCTGCTTACAGTGCCAGAAGTCGGTGCTTTGTGCCTTTGCAGCCTGCTTCCTTAAAATGCTAGTCCCAGCCTGCGGGTGGGCTCTCAGTGGCCTGAGGTCCCTGTACCAGGGAGCTGCTTTTGGGGTGAGGGCTGCGCTCCTCTCTCCCACGGGCTGCCCTCCTCCGGGGCTGGGGCCGGGGCTGCCCTGCCCTGCCCTGCACGGGACAGCGGCTCCCGGCCGGGGACGAGTCCCTTCCTCTCTCCACTGGCTAGGGAGATCTCCCCTCCTCGCCCCTTGCATTAACCCACCGACCTTCTTTTTCTTTTTTCCCTTTGCAGTGTGAAGCAGCGCTGTCTCAACGAGCAGAAACGGAGGAGACAGAGGGCTACCAAGAAAATCAGTATTTTTATAGGGTCGTTCGTGATCTGTTTTGGTCCTTACATTATCACCAGGTTAGTATCTCCTGCCTGCTGGGGTGGGTTGGGGGACTTCCCGAGACACCCGTGTGCCCTCTGATGTGAGGATGCTGGTGCCGCGGAATGGGGGGGGGGGAGGCTTACGACTAATTTGGGGCTTGCAGAGCCCGACGGAGACTTGGGGCCGGTAGTGAGAGCACACACTCGCACGCTCTCACATGCACGCGCACACAGGCGCGCACACACAGGCGCGTACACGCGCGCACGCCCAGCCCGCTGAGCTGGGAGCCCCGGCGGGCTCTGGCTCTCCTCTCCTCCTTGCTGCCAGCTCTGGGAGCCTCTGCCAAGAGCAAGAGGCTTTTAGGACAAGTACCAGGAATTAATTACACGCCAGTGGGCGATGAAAGCAGTTTAAAACACTCGCCACCCCTCCTTATTAGCACAACCCAAGCAACAGAGGGGAAAGCAGACCGCTTTTTCTGATTAGCTTTTTTTTTTTTTTTTTTTTTTTCAAGGCATAAGGCCAAGCTTGCTGCTGTTGGAAGCTGAGGTGATATAATTTAAATTTATCCAGGCTGATAATTTGGCAGATAAGATTTGTGTCTGGAAACGTTAATGTCTGTGAATATATTGCTAATGGTGCAGCATGGACTTGTGATGAGGTGTGAGAGTTAGCTCCCAGCAAAACCAATAATTAGACTTTAAGAATGTATAACCGTGCTTCTAACCGTTCAGAATCATTTGCATCCACTCTGATGGTCTGTACCTTTTAAAAGAGTTATATATCATTCTTATTCCGTACTTGCATAGTCCTTATACAATATATGGTTATCATTTTTAAAGCTTGACTAAATCAGTGAGCTGGAAGCCAACATAACTATAGTGAATTGCAGCATTTCAGCCTTTTGTCTCTAAATTAAAATGGGCTAAAACTTTCACAAGTGATTTTTTTAATTTATTTTTTAATGGTCACCATTCAACAATGCTTTCAAATGCCTTTGGAGAGAACCGACTTCTGCTCAGGAAGGTGTACTAGTCTTTGTCATCTCTAAATTAAAATGGGCTACAGCTTTCACAAGTGATTTATTTAGTTATTTCTTTACTGGTCACCGTTCAATAGTGCTTTCAAATACCTTTGGAGAGAACCGACTTCTGCTCAGGAAGGTGTGCTAGTCTTTACAAAACCACCCTGGTGAAGGCTTTCCTGTTTTCTTCCAAGTTTGCCAGGGTCTGCAGCCACACCAGCTTATCAAAACTGGCCAGCTTTAGCCCAATGAACTTACACAGTCATATACACATAGGTCATTTACAACCATCATTATTACCCTTTTCTTACATGGGTAGTGGGACAGATTGAGGCCAGAGCACAAACATGACAATGTTTTTTAACCTTTAGGATGACATTTCTTTCAGTTCCCATTTAGATGTTAAGCAGGATTCCTGTCTGATTACCTGGATAACTGCATTTTTTTCTTCAGTTAAAAGGATTATTACAAATATTAACATTATAGCACAGAGTTAAAAGGTTAATTGATCAGTGTTCAGTACATTCTGAGTCATTTTCTATTCACTTTAGCCATAATCAGGATATAATTGTATTGAACAAAGTGGATCTTGTCATCTTCTTTCTATTTGAATATTACCAGGCTCAGCAAATTCCAGCATCGCTTTTTTTTTTTTTTTTTTTTTTTTTTAGGGTAGAGATATTTCTTACACACTACTAAAATAATTTCTTATAAAGTTCTAAAATAAAAGTGTCTTCCTTCTTCAAACCTTGCATTTTGCAAAAGTGAGATGGTACATTTTCTATGTGTGACAAATGGGTACTGCATGTGTCAACAGGGAGAAGGCAGAGGATTGGTTTATATAAATGTGCATGGCAAGGTAAAGCTTCTGCCTCAGTCACAAGGACCAAGAGAGATCAGCGACTGCAAAATAGGAAGCATTTGGGGAGGACATCCTGGGGGTCCTTTGCCTCAAAGGCAAGACAGTGTCTAGGCAGCACTGAATAGAGGGTGGTAGAAGCAATAAAGTTGGAGGATTTGCTGTCTTTCCACTTCTCCATTCTTATTCCATTTTCAGTGCAGTTGTGTTGAAGCAATCTCTGCGGAGGCCCTGGGAGAGATTTCATCCTCTCTTTTCTTGCTCTTTGGCCTGGTGACTCAGGTTGTGTTGTGAGCTCAGTGTTTTCTCCTCATTTCATAAATGTGAATGAGATTATGATCATTAGCAATATATTCATCTGTTCGCTAAAAGCCAACAGATGAATTTCATCTTTGCTGTAACATCACTGAAATCAAGAAAATTATACTAAGATGCATCCAGGTGGATATTTATAAGGCTGAACCCTTCTGTCCAGGCCTTTTATCTTGTTAAAATCTGAGTGATTTTTTTTTTTTCCCCTGTTGGCTTCAATGCAATTACATTTGGACCCATAATACATTAAAGTGGACACATAGTAATACATCTATCTTCATAACTGAAAGATATCTTACTCTGCTTATTTGGTGTGTTTATAAAAATGTCAGTCATGTAAATATCAAGTGTATGTTTCCTGTATTATGATGATCTGCAGGAATGGATAAACTAAGAAACCATGTAGCAAATGTACTTTATTATACATTTATTTATTTCTTACATTCAGTGTCTGAAATATTCAGTTATTCCTCACGTTTCCTTCATGTGCTCTCTGTTTTGAAATCACTGGAATTTTCCAAGCAGCTTCAAGCAGGAGTCATCTGATTCTTAAATGTACTTGCCATGGGAATTATTTTATTTTTATTAATTCAAATGAGAAATTTTCCTTATAAAGCTCAACTTCTTGTTGCAAAGTTCAGTTCTAGCATTGGTAAGTCAGCTTTTCTATGCAGAGAGATTGGAAGACTGGAACAGCTTCAAAATTCAACACCCTGCAAGTTGGGAGCTCTGCACATTGGAAAGAGGCCAAAAGTTTCTTCAAGCCTTGAGAAAGCTTCAGAGCTCACATTTTCAAACTGTGATGTTTTAGGGTACAGAAAAGGGATATTTTATCTCATGGTGATTTATTTTTTTTTCCCTTCTGGAATTAATATAACAAAATAGCATATTCTTGCACTTGCAAAAGGTTTCACAAAAGGTGTAAAGATAATGAAAACTTCTTGCCCTGTTCCTCCCACCTTACTGGAGAGTTTGTCCAATCTAGATAAACTGCATGCCAGACACTTGCTGGAATAGTCTGAAGGTTTTCTCTCACTTCTGTGGAAAAAACGTTTAACCTAGTTGCAGTTTCTCCACCCGTGATTAATGGACCAATCTCAATTGAGGTGCTGAGACCACTAATCATCCATGAAGCACAGGCCAGGAGACACAGGTCTGGAGACAGCTGGCTGGCCATATAATGATGATAAAAGTGTTGTCTCCTTGTTTTCTTTGGCCAAAATAGCAGCCAGCCAAATACACACAGAAACTTCCACAGGTAAGTCAATGCTGAAGCACATGTTACTTACCTAAAACCTCTACATAGGTTGGCAGATATGACAGTATGTAAGGGAGACCCACAGCTTCCAGAAGCAGCAAACTGATCCCACAGGTGTTATGTCCAATTGTTTCAAATGTCACTAGGCAGCTACATTTAGGCAACTGAGATGAGTGAGTCCAGATCCTCCAAGTTGCCTCAAGCTTGCTGAGGGAGAGAGGTAATGGATCACTTTGACCACTGTCACTTACCAGCACAACTCTATATATTCAGAAAATGTAGCAATAAACTGCAGTACTTTTTTTTCTCTAATGTATGGGAGCATTAACAATGAAAACACACTTTTTTCCCTCTTTCTATAGAGGTAATTATTATTGTTTCCTAGTGGCTTTGTTACAACAGTTCCCTTTATCTTTATTGAATTCAAGGAGGACCCTTCTCCTGCAGGGACCATGTACTGTATAAAAATAAGTGTTACTTTAATGTTACATGAAGCATGAGTTGTGCACTGGACTCAGTGTGAACATAACACTCAAGTGTTTCCATCTCTCTTTAATGTTTAACAGGTTGATAGAGCTCCTTCCTTTTGTTACCATAAACTACTACTGGGGAATTATAAGCAAGTGCCTCACCTACAGTAAGGCTGCGTCAGATCCATTTGTTTACTCACTTTTACGTCAACAGTATAAAAAAGTTCTGATCAACATCGTCAATAGGATACTTAAGAGGGATCTGTATCCATCATCAGGGTACAACAGCTCTCTCGACACTGAAAATGATTACTGCTTGCACAGAACAAACTAACAACATGGTAAGCACTCCCCTTTGAGTGAGACAGGCCTTTGACACTGCTGGAAAGCTGCCTTTTCCCTCTCATGCTGACAGTGGTGACAGTGTCTACAGGGTATGGAAGCTGCATTAAAGAAACGTAATGTCTTTGTGGACTTTCCTGAAAGGCTCTTCCCTCATCTGCAGTCAGTGCGATATAAGGCAAGGCCTTGCTCCTGAGTGAATGGAGTAGGCTTGAGGGGTTTAAGAGAGCCTTTGGAGAAGCTTAGAGGGAGCTTTTAATATTTCGAGTCTGAAGACTTGGTATTTCTCGGAGCATCCTGCATCAGATGTAATAACCCACTGTCTTCTGGGACCACAGGAATCCCCAGCTTGGAAGAAGAGGTCCAGAGTCCTCCGTGCTGTGCATGTCCCTTGGCAGCCCTGGATCTGTCCTATTAGTTTTGAACATTAAAATTAAATCTCTTAATTGATTGATTAATTGTATTGGTGCCTCAAGTAAGTGATATGGGTCAGCACTTTGAATCTGAGATTGTTATTATTATTATTCTTTATTACTAGGCATCATGATTGTAACATAGCCTTTAGGAAGTGGTACATATATTTGATATGCCAGTATTCTATCAAGCATAACCAAAGTCCACATATCTGAGTTACTACTATTTAGCACTTCAATGGTATGTGATGATGATAACAATAATTGCAGCAACAGTAACAAAGGCATATATGGAGTTTAGTTAAATAGTACTGTAGTTCCATCACTGAGCTAGTCCTATTCAAATTAGCTTTTATTGAGGGAAAAGAACAGCAACAAAAACAACAAAAAGACCAGTTAGGCAGTAGAAGTAACAGACTCCACTGTGTTTAAGATATATTACTTCAGAAGCTATCTGGTTTCAAAACAGGCTAAAATATGTTAATTCTTTTTAAGGAATATACAATGTGTAAAATATTTCATGCATTGGCTATATTTGGTGGATTGTAATAATATTGTATTCTTTTATATTGATCAATTAATCTGATGATTTTAACAGATACCAAGAGATGTCTGAGAGATATTATAACAAACTTGCTGCCAAATGCCCAGAAACACAAAGCTGCTTTGTTATTATATGTATTTTTATTTACTTTTAAATTTAAAAAAGCTTTGGAAAAAAAATGTAGGAATTATTTTTGAACAATGTTCTTTTGATTATATAAAACATGTTTCAAAATATTCTATGGCATTCAATAAGCTACTATTTTCTAATCTAGTATATAAAGGGAAAATTAAAGTAATTCTAAGATATATTTAAGAAAAGAGAAGACGTTAAAGAACAATTATTTTTTATGTAACAATGAATTTGACCCTATTAAGCACTAAGAAGACTCCTTCTGGTCAAACTAAGTATATAAGCATGTGATTAGGTACAAATATAATTTCCTTTGAAGTTAATAGTTCTGTTCCCATGCTGAAAATTAAGTAGATGCTTAACTGTTTTGTAAACTCAGTGTTTCAGTAGTCAGCACATGGAAAGAGGGTTGTTCCCACTATCCTCAACATAGAAAAAGGAGAGCACCTTATTGCAATCCCATTGAAGTCAAGGAAAGTTGATGCTGTGTAACAAATACTATGTTCTCTTATCTTCTGCTTTTAATCTCCGAGGCCTTTCTGAAGCTATTTATTTTTTATTTATTATTTAGCCTTGTGAGTACTTTAGGCTTCTGTGCTTTGCATCTATAGTTCTGCCTGTGTTTAAATTGAATGTATTATAATGGTTTTGTCTTCTTAGTAAAGTATTTGTACTCTCTCCAATTTTGTGTAAATACAATATTTCAGAAAAAAAAAATGTATATGGAATCTTTCCAGTTCTACTATCTTCCTGTCTGCCTCCACATGCCTCCCCACTCTGTCTTGCTGCAAGAAAAGCCTGATGCTCCTGTCTTTCACGTTAGCTTCAGCATAAGGACCAAACATCTCTGCAGGGGGCAAGGGGAATGCTAATTTTTCACTGAGAGTCAACTTTGATAATCTACAGCTCTGTGTGGAAACATGAGTTTGATGATACCCACAATTTTTTATCTGATCTTTAGTTTCCCAAAGAAAATGTTGCTCACTTTAAGAATGTTACATATAGTTAAATATATTAAACCATCACTTCCAACACACACAAATTAAACAAAAAAAAATAATCTTTTTTAGTATCAACAAAATAGTAGATGAGAGAAAATATAATGATAATCTTCTGAAGCTATTACATCAATAAACCTCTAAAGCATAACCAAAGCCACATTTTAAAGGTATAAACCAGAACATAGTTAAACTGTAACATCTGCTGTTAAATTAATTAATGAAGCTGATTCATGCCAGTTGAGGGTGTTGCCATGCACACACTTCATAATACAACTCAATCTTGCAAAGCATTGAACATTTCTGGAGGTGCTTAGGTCTAGACCAAAAAAAAAAAAAAAAAAAAAAAAAATCTCAAGCCTGCTGCATGTTACAGAATGCCTTTTAGATTTAATTTCCATGAAAAATTAGGAAGCTGAAGTCTACAGTATGCTCCAAAAGATGAGTAAAGACACCAGAAACTGAGGGAGGGTGAGGAGAGCTGTAATTCTTCTTTTTCTAATTTCCCCTCTCAATCTTGATTTGCAGTGAAGTTTAAGTGTATTGTTTTGCTGTAACAGAAGGTATCTTCTGCTAATTATGCAGAGCTAGCTCTGTAGGTAATCTTTTCTTTCTCCCTTCTTCTCACCATCCCCTCCTCACCCCATACCAGAGAAGTGCTTGTTCTACTTTCCTTACTGAGTAGGAAGTGTTCACTAAGAGGTCATGGTTTCATTCACCCAGTTTACTGATGCAGGAAAAACTCCTATTAGCTTGGTTCTTCATTCATTATGCCCTGGGTTATTCTGGGGTAGAAGGAGGTAGAGGGAAAATACACTCTGCCATCATCTTTTGAAATGCTGCAAAAAAGATCAGCATATTTACTGCTGTAACAAAGATGAAAACATGCATCTTATGCAGTGGGAGCATTTACCAGAGGGGTCAATGTTGTGGATTCTCTTACCAATATTTTAGCTAAAATAATCATTGCATACACAATCCTGACAGTTGGATCTAGTATGGATCAGATGTTCCAGAAAACCTGAAATGTGATATCCAAAACGGCATCTTGCCACTGGCACACTTGCTAACATGAAGGTAGTGCTCCAGGAAAGTGGATCTGGATTTATCACCCAACAGCCTGGAGTGGGTTTTGCTAGAAAAGACAAGAGACTGGCAAATACTTGGCAGGTCTGCTCTTGAGCTGGAAATCATGATACTTGGTTCTGTAGTGGAGCTGTCATGCTTGCACTGACATCCTTGGTGTGAAGGAGCTGTGACCCAGCAATGGTTTGTTGTTAAAGAGTATGCAAGAGAAATATCGTTTTCTCACAGTAATAGTAGTAGGGCCCAAAATGTTTCTAGGCTGTGATTATTCAGCTTCTGATTGTAATCTATGTCAGCAAAAATAGTCCTCTTCCTTACTTCAAACTTTCATTTTGGCTGTAGACTGGAACTCAGAACCTTCCCTGAGTGACATCCTCATCCTAACGCAGTCAGAATAAAAACTCTACAGAACAATTTAATTAGTCTATGTAACTGAAGAGGCTTTCAACTTCAATTTGCTTTTCTTAACACACCTTCACCAAAGTATTTCCAAGCCTGAAGATTTGGAAATTTTCTGACAAGATTCAGGATGGAGTTTTGAATCTGCCATTATAGAAAAAGGAAGCCTTTTTACCTCATTCCCTAAGTTAGTGCTCTAACATTTATCAAAAAGAGTGGCCTCGTCCAAAGAAAATAGGATTTATTTTTATTATTATTATAATTGCTTAGCACCTATAACTGCAGGTAAACTCTGAGACTGTCAACCAGGCTGAGTTCCTGAGGCAAAAAACATGAGGCAGTACTTAGACTATGAATTCCCAAAAGGTTTAAGTATGACCTCTGTCCCAGCCTGCTCAGTCTTTGCAAGATGGAAGTACTTGAGTTCAAGTGTAAAATCAAAACTAGTACGCTTGGGTTGTGTGATCCTGAAAACTTATATGTCTCTCAGCTTAGATGGCAATGAAGACCTCAGGTCTTTGAATTTTGACTCCACAAATTCCTTATCCTCATTGAAGATCAGACGTGTCCTTCATCTGGATAAATTTACACCTATTATATATTTGCAAATAATCTACACTGCTCAAAAATTAATGAATACATGTTTACCCTATTTTAACATTAGTAATGGTGGTACCGAACTTAATTTTCAGAGCTATTTGCAATGTTAGGCTTATTGAGGTCATTAAGCATGTGGAAATCAGAGCTCTTTAACACAACTTCTAATGGACCAGCGAGTGATTTAATTTTATTTATTTTTCTTACAATTTTGGATTAGAATTCAAACTCTGAGAAATTTATCTCTATTGAAAATTGTTGATGTTGAAACTCATCTAGATAAAACGCTTAAAAATACTGAAAAGAACAGTTCTACATGAGCTGGAAGGCTTGACTAGATCATATGGAAGGCATATTTTATGTTGTTTTTATTTTATGTTGTTTTTATTTTATGTTGTTTTTATTTTATGTTGTTTTTATTTTATTTTATTTTATTTTATTTTATTTTATTTTATTTTATTTTATTTTATTTTATTTTATTTTATTTTATTTTATTTTATTTTATTTTATTTTATTTTATTTTATTTTTTATTTTTCTCCAGAAGTAATTATGTGCAGTTGTGCATGCAAAATTGAACAAGTAACTGTGTGTCTGTGTCAAAAGCACATAGCATATTTCAGGATTGTGAATTGCAAATGGCTTTTTCGGTCTGGTTCAGGAGGACACCTGGTTTGTAGGAGGTGTTAATTACACAAGTAAATTAGAGATTCTGCTTTTTATTTTTGGAAAGCAGGTCCAATTAATATTTAATGGCTCAGTTGGAGACACAGCAGAGCTGACCTTAAGAAAGGTTGTAAATATATGAATACCTTTTTGGTGCCAGAAACTTTGAAGAGGAAAATGTCACCTGGCACGATGTATGCAAACAGCTCCTGCTTGGAGCTGGAGCTGCTTTTCTCTGTGGTTTACTGATGTCATGCAGGCCAAATAACTGGTCCCATTTATGTGTATCCTTGTTTCTTTTCTCTCTACAAGCCAGCTTGCCTTGCCAGGACATGTAGGTGCATGAAAGTATGAAAGGTCTCTAAGGATGCATGAGGGAAACTAGGTGCTTTCTGCTCTATTCTATGAGTGAGCAATGAATGAAACATGAGTCGCTCCCAGCCAGGTTTCTTGTACACTCTTTATGCAAATGAAACATATTGCAAAGCATGTATGTTAAATGTCAGAGGGCCCATATGGTAAAGGGTATTTCTGAGTGATAAGAACTATGGATCTTTCCAGTCCATTCACTCAATGCCACTTTTTTTTAACCAGGTGCCTTCAGAAATACTATGAAGAATATCTGAAGTATCTTCACCTCTGAGTCCAATCTACTATCACATATTGCAAACTGCTCAGCAGCCCACTATGGACAGTAAGAGCTCTCCAAACAAAAAAACAAAATACTCTTTGAGATATAACCTAAGGTTTTTGTTGTGAACTCTTCATCAGTTTCACCATGTCACATTTGCATGTGACATAAATAGATTGGTATCCAGCAAGTTTGGAGCAAACTGTTCAGCATGTTTATGTTTCCAATTTTCCTTCCTAAACCAAATAGATTGAAATCTTGTAACCCCTCCCAAGACCTCTGCTCCTCATGCCTAACCCTTTAGTAGCTTCAGTTAACACACTATCAAATTTCATTTTTTTTCAACTCAAGGCTTAACACTCTAATTGTATTCCAACAAAGCCTGACCTTAAGTAGCAGATTCTTTACTATCTTCTTTTCACTTTTATAATTCCTGTCTTTACATATCCAACCACTCTGTTCTCCTTGCTTGCAGCTGTCAGCCCTGAGGCACATTTTCAGAGTATTTTACAGAAACCTAGTAAATTGCTCAGTGCTCTTGCTCCATGGCATGGGACTAGAGATTGGGTTTGTGTGTTCATGTTCACAAGAATGTTTGAATGTGTTTTAGGTCTCATGTTTCACATTTGTCCTTATTCCAAGTAAAACAAAATATTGATTTACAATACATGACCTTCGTTTTATGAATGGTTGCTGATCCCTAGGTCTATTGCTCAGAAAGACTTTCATCTCTAAATCTTACTTTTCAGGTAATCACTCTTTTTGTTGTTGCTGATGAAGACTGTGTTAGGCATTTAAAATAGCTCTTTGGGCTCCCCACAGTATTCCAAATACTCCATTGCCTTTTTATTCTTACTACCTTGTTGAAAACCATAGAAGTACTAGAACTATATTTCTTAGGAGATCTGAAGCACAGACAGATGAACGACCAAGCAGCCAAAAAGTGCCTTGCTTTAAAGTGCCTGAATCACATTTTAGAAGATACCTGTGAATATAGGATAAACACTTTCATCCTGAATTTGTTTGTTGGTACATTGAATTCTGAATCAGAGTTTCTCAGGCATTTAAAAACATGTTTCTCATTATGGACAGAGACACCTCAATGATGATAACAGAGATGAATTCACAGAATGCTCTTTAGAGTACAGGAAGAAGACAAGCCCCCTCCCTTCCTGAGGAGCTTGATCCACCAACACCACATAAAAATGGACTGACAGACAACCCTTTGTTGTAATACACAGCTGTAAGTGCTTAAGCCACTACCTTTTCTGCTTTTCTAGGTGAAGCTTCAAGAATCTTCTTTGGGTGTGAGGGTTCAGGCTGAGATCTCTCATCTGCTTGG